AGCCTGAGAGAATATTTTCTCTCTAGGTGACTCTCCTTAGGCACACTCTACATCATCAATCACTTTCCTCTGTGGCCCCATAATCTCCTTGATCAGAAAATTCAGGACACCACTGAGTTACAGGATGTTACAGTACAAGTTCACCTATGTCCTGAGTCCTCACTGACCTTGAATGGAAAACAGATCTTTTAGCCTGCCATTTTTTGTGCCCAGAGGCATTGCAGGTTCTCCTGACATCACAGCTCATCCAGGGAGCAGACCATGAGAGCGCCGTTCTAGCTCATCTTTGCACAAAAGTCAAACCTCACTGTAGAATCATCTACTTCCATCTATAGAAGACAAATCATTAAAATCCCATAATTAACAAAAATTATAACAGAGACAGACAAATTGCTATGAGCCCACAGTGACTGACCAATATCCATTTCTGGAAATAAAATTTCTGAGAACGAAGAAACAAAATACAGTGTCCCAGAATCAAGAAAGAAGTCTACCATAGCTTAATTAGATTAATTAATGCTCAGATTAAAAAGATGGTTTGGGAACCAGCAGACCATGCCATAAAAGGAATGTATGTTGTGTCCCAGTGTCCTGGGGTGATTTAGAGTTAAGATGTGACCTATGTTGTGCCTGGTAGGGCTGCCCCTTGGTAGCATTGTGATGTATTGACAAGTTGATGAGCCCAAACTAGTATCTTTTCTGCCTGCATGATAATTTATTTTAAAAAGCCAATCCAAGTGAAGGATATGCAGGATCAAAGGCAGGGGTGTTCTTCCTGCAGAAAAATATGCAAGACAGTAACATCTTTCATTTTATAATTGATTTCTATGAAATGTGTTTGCTATTGTGAAACCGTGTCAGTATGTTTACCATGAGTTGAACCAAGCAATTATTATGTTTAAATACAAAAGTTTGTTGCTTTTAAAAGGGTGATTAGGCTTCTGGTCTTCTCATTACTTTTGTTTTGTTTGTGCCAGTGTCTCACTCTGTAGCCCAGGTTAGCCTCAAACTTTCAATCCTCCTGCCTCAGCCTCTCAAGTAGATGAGGTCACACATGCATGCCATCATGTCCCACTTTGAGTTTTTAATTTTCTTCATAAAGATAAAATTGAACTATTAAAAAGAAGATTTTTGAGATTCTTTCTGTCTTTTTTTTTTTTTTTTTTTGCCAAGATCTCACAATGTATTTCAGTGTCTGGCCTTGAATTCACTGTGTAGCCCAGGTTGGCCTCAATCTCACAGCAATCCTCCTACCTCAGCCTCCCAAGTGCTAAGATTATAGGCAGGGACCACCATGCCCAGCTCTTGCAAGAGCTGTAAAGTAGGAGCCCTTTAATATTGGGAATAGCATGAGCTATTATCCCCCTTTTGGCTAATTTGCTTGATCCAGAGTTGGCCTCAGTTTCTTTCCTTTTTGGATGCTTCATTATGTTTGTTCTCTGTTGCTGCATAGCACATTGTCTCAAATACAGCAGATTAAAACAACAGTTATCTCACAGTTTCTGAGGATCAAGAATCCAATAGTGGCTCGGCCCACTGTTTGTGGCTGGGAGTCCCTCCCAGAGAGAGGCTGGGGCTGCCTCATCTGAAGGCCAACCTGGGGCCAGGGCATCCCCTGATGGCTCACTCTTGCATCTTGGTGGATGGCTTCCTTCAGCTCTTCCTCAGCTGTTAGGGGGCCTCTATTGCTTCTCATGTGGACCTTGCAGTTCAGCTTCTCGAGAAGACAGCAGGCTTTATCCAGAGCAAATGACCCAAGAGAAAAAGAGAAGGTGAAGGCCACAGTGCCCTTATGACCTCCGCCCAGAAGTGTCACATCATTACTTTTGTCATATTTTATTGGTTACACAGACCAAACAATGTCTACCGGCTACGATTGCCTGGAAGAAGGGATTGAACCCATCTCAGAAGCCACCTTCTGTAGCTGTGTTGGTAGATACAATGTACTCATAATATAGACTGAAGAGAAAAGTTTGTAGACAATTTCCAGCATTTAGAATGAAACACATTTCCTTTTCAAAACATAGAATGGCATGATAAAAAAAAAAAACTAATGTTCCTGTTGTCACATTATGTTATTTAACCTATTATTACTATAGCTTAATCTCACTTTGATAATGGTCATAGCATTTGTGAAGGACCACTTAAACAATGACAGGGCATTAGCAAAGTGACTATTGGTCAATGACTATTAATGATTTCAGAATATAGTTCATTTCATGGGAGCAAAATTGCATCATTTCCTCAAGACAGCACCTAAACTAAATTAAGTTAAAATGAGCAATCTATTTCTTTTAATCTAAGTTTATTTCTTAAAACTTTGGGGGAGTCTATTTCAGGGAACATTAGATTTCTATCAATTGTTTAATATATTAAAGGGCAAATAGAAGCCACCATTATAGAAAATGATAGTTGCACAAACCCTGAGGAAACGTGCCTGGGCTATAATATCTAAGATTACTTGTGATTAATGTCTCCAAATTCAAGTTGCCACAAGCCAGAGTACTGGCTCCTTATTAGTTACGGTGAGAAAGCCATATTTGCATTGGTGTTATCACAAGGCGCTGCCTGTTTTAATTGTCTTTCTTATGAGGTGTTAACCACTCTTCTCATGTTGCAGCCATGTAAAAATACAGAGCCACACAGCAGTTTAGATCTAGAAAGAGCCTTGGAAGTTTTATATTTTAGAAATGGTTCTCATTTTTGTAGCGTTGAGAAGTATTATACCAAATGGTGTTCTCACTGTGTTCCTTGCTTCATCTTTTAAAAATGACTAAAACTGGGGCTAGGAAAATAGCTCAGTGGTCTAAGCGCCTTCCTGCAAGCACTAAGACCTGGCCGGGTTCGATTCCCTGACCGCAGGCTGTGCCGGCCCTGAAACTGGGAAATGTGGTGCATGCCTGTAATCCCAGTGCTGGAGAAGCGGAGACAGGTGGATTACTGTGAGTCCAAGCTGTGTAGCGAGACCCAGTACTAAATACATAGATTGATAATTAATTGTAAAAAAAAATGACTAAGATTTAGCACCAAGCAATATCACCGAACAGTACTGAGTTACTGATAATTGTTCACTATACATAATCTCCAGAAAATACAACACCAGTTGACACACACTAGTTCCAAGTTAGAGAAATCCCGTCAGGCATTGCGCAGGACAGCCTCCCTACCACGTCCGCCCCGAACTGCACTCGGACCGTGCTCCTCTCAGTCAGTCCATCATGCTTCTTTCTGAGTATTTAACTTTCTTCTTAAAAATAAAACTGAGCTAGTTTGTAAAGTGATCAAGGGGAAATGGAGGCGTAGTTACAAGTACTGCATCTGCACACACAAACACAAAGTCGCCTCAACCACCTGGATGCCTAAAGAGCTTATTATAGTTAGAATCAAGAGTCATGTTGGAAGTTTAATTCTAAAGTAAATATTTTTTCTTTCTTTTTATTTAGCTGGTGGTAGTATAATACATCATATAACACTAATCTTAGCCAAGGATTACCCCAAGCATGAAGCTAATTCTTTCCTCTGACATCAGTTTTACGCAGGACCTACAGGGCCAGCCTTCAAAGACTTCAAATAAAGAATTTACTTTCCTACGCTTGATTTATGGTATCAGAATTTGTTATTTTCCAATGGATTCACTAACTAAACTATGCATGTTTATAATTGGATAAGTTCTTCATTGAGTCTTACTGTTACTCGGTGTTTGGTGATGTTCCCAGTATTTTAAGTTAATATTTTGGTTCCTAATATGTTATCAGTAAATATTTTCAAGTTAAGAGTCATCCTTGGGTTGGGAGTGTGGCTCAATGGTAAAGCTATTACCTAGCATGTTGATGCCCGGAAGTCTAACTCATATGGAGTACACTTATTTTATAAGAAAATCCTCCTAATTTTTTGGTAGTTTCAGTTCTTTCATAGGATTTTTACAAAGAAATCCTTTGGGCTAGTTTTTTTAGAGCACAGTAAGTAAATATATTAGCGTTTAATTAAATCCTTTCCTGTCATTGGTTTCTTTTCTGTTTAGTGCCCCATTATATATTTTAGTAAAACCAATCCTAACTCCAGCCTCCAAAATTCTGGCCTTTCAGGGGGCATCTCTCCTAATTTTTTTCTTTCTTAATATTCCGTAATTATACATTTTCAATATTCCAAAGTCATGTATACATTTTGTTTAAATAAAACTGATGATAAGAGTATAAAGAAAACTTTGCCCAGGCTCTTAATATCTTCTCAATTTGAGTAACGAAACATGGGATCCACAACACCTTAACAGATTTTCCTATTTTGTTTTTCAAAACAGGTCTCTAGGGCCAGCACTGTGTCCTTCACCACCCGTTGTTCCTTTCATTTGCAGAGCATACACAAGCCATGGTGTGGACCACAGGGCAGGGCTGTATGTAGGGTAGCTCCTCCTGCACTGATGGCTTGGATTTTATGTCTATCTCTAGAGACGAGATTGATTAGTTATCTGTTTGGCTCATAACAAAATACTCCAAGTATCCTTAGTCGTTTCAAAAAGTCAATCTACCATTTCTCACAATTCTGGGCTTAGCTGAGGGTTGGCTGAACAGATCTTCTATGGTCCCTATTAGGGTCTCTCAGGCAGCATTACTCTGTGGCAGATGGGTTTAGGATAACCGCACTGATTTCATTCTGACCCCTTACATGGAAGGGTGGGTTAAGGTGGGACATAGGGACAGGGAAGCCTCTCTTCCTCACGGCCTGTGGGCATGACCTCTCCACCAGATTAGTGATTGTTGCAGATACACTAAAAGTGAAAGCTTCTCGGCTGCGATATGGCTTAGTCCCAGGCTTCCTTCTTCTCTGTGCCTTTGGTGGAAATGAGCCACAGAGTCAGCTCAGTTTCAGTTTGCAGGGAGACACATAGGGCAGAATACGAGAAGCCCTAGTTCATTGGGTCATTTTTGGAGACCATCTACTACAGGGATTAAGTTTTCCTTTTCCTCCAGTAAGACTTCAATTCCTCTCTACTCCTTTTGCAGCTCCCTGTGTCACTGGTGGTTTGCCTAAGCCTACAAATGTCACCTTTTGGTCCATAAACATGAAAAATGTCCTACGCTGGGATCCCCCAGACAGTCTCCAAGGGGCTGCAGTTACGTACACTGTGCAGTACTTCATGTAAGCTCATTCTTTTTCTTTTGGCTAATTTATAAATGCAAGACTCTTGTGAATTATGCAAAGATAAACTTGTTAATGAGTTAAATAAGATTTTGAAAAAGAGAAAGTGTTGGTTATTCTATGCTATTTTCTTGATACATTTTTATTATACTAAATTGGGAAACACTTATTTCATGGAGCCAAGAATTAGATGCTCAGGAAAGGGGTATTATTTAAATAAAGGAAGGAATTTGGTCAGCACATTATTCTCTGACTAAACAAACAAGGTAATCCATCACCTCTGAAACTTCTGAATTTTTTGATTTATTGAACTTTGGAAATCCTTTGACTTAATGAACTCAATGAAGAATTCTGTGTTATCTGCTCTTCCTACCAAAATGTAACAGTGAAGGAACATTTTTATTTTTCACCTGTCCTTCAAAATTCGTGGTAAGCAAGAAAGAATGCAAAACAGAGATACAATACTCATCTTCCAAAGACAGAGATGGCCACAGTGCCTGACACAAACTCTGAAGCAGACAAGCCAAATACCAAGTAATAGGAAAACAACCACAGCAGCTGAAAGCAAAGCCATACCCTGCTCCACCAGCAGAAGTGTCATAAGTGCTAAGAGGCTTGGCTAGCCATCCAGGCAGGTCAGGTTGAAGGATTTCACCACCAAAGGAAATGTTCCCCTGGAGCGCAAGTTGGGTGCCTCTTCAGAAGGCCAATAGAGGTGGACCTGAAAGGGAAATCAGATTGAAGTGACACAGCCATGGTGAAGGACTGTCCACAACCCAGACAGAGCCTAGAGCCACACAGGTATGGAGACAAAAGCAAAGGGGAATAGCTGGAGCAGCCCAGAGAGGCAACAGTATGAGAAGGTGGGAATCATGTCAGCCTGCAGCTGTCCGAAGTCTAGGGCAGGCAGGCTCCCCAGCAGGAGGAATAAATGCTCAGTTTGGTAAAAGAGTGTTAGCCTCAATCAGAAGTTTAAAATGCTAAATAACAAAAAGCTCAGTTACCTGGCCCTAACTCCTAGACCCATCTGTTCCATAGTCATCCAACATCCAGCCCCATTCAAAGCTTATTAGTCCTGAAGAGAGCCGCACAGCACTTTTGTATAATTACTGGGAGAGGGAAAGAGCAATAAGAAAAAGTGATATATTCCTGAAAAGCTTTCCTTTGGGAGTAAAAGAAAAACAGACGAAGGATTTCCTGTGTGGCTTGATTGGAGTCCATGACCAACATGATCTCTACAGGTAAAGCTCAACGAAGAGAAAATAGGAAAAGAAGGGATTCTAGATAAGAGGGGAAAAATGTCAAAACAAGTGGGCAGAGATGAGGGAAAGTTATAAAATAAAAATATTATATCAAAATGAAAAACCTTTTATACCTAACTGATAATAGTGGCTGACAGTGGCTGACACAACTGTGTGCAGTACATTCATGCTGTTTGCGAAATTTTAATGAAAATAATAGTGAGGCATATCTTGGTGAATTTTAAGAAAATGAAAAAATTTATGACCTTCATAGTAAAGGCAGAAATCGAGTGGGTAGGTGGGCAAGGGAAATCTCTGCTGGCCACTCACATCAGAATACACCTAATAGAAGGTAAGTGTACCTGAGATTCTTATTAAATTCAGTAGCTAGGTATTCAAATAGCTGGGAGCTCAGGATTCCCTTTCCCCTGATCCTTCTGGAGCTGTGGAGACCAGTACCTAAAGATGATGTGCAGCAAACAAAAAGATAAAGTTGCACCCCAGAGAAGAACTTAGTAGCTACACAGTGATACAGAAAAATGGGTGGTGGGCATAGAGCACTTCTAAACAGAGATGGTAAATACAAGTGTAGAAATTTTTTGTACATGTTTAAGCATGGTGTAATGAATCAGAATGTGGAGAGGAACTCTAAGGGTACTGTTTTGCATAGCAGCAAGTCTTAAATGTAATCTAATATGAAAATACATTGGACCCTTTGTATTCCTGAGAGGTTGGTTCCAGTTTCTCAGATATGAAAATCTGCAGGTTCCTAACACTTATATATAATGACATGATATTTACATATAACCTGTGTACATTTCTCTGTATACTTTAAATCATCTTTGGATTTACATATAATATCTACTACAATTGTTAAGTGCTATATAAATATCTATTACTATACTGCATTGCTTAAGGAATAGTGACAAAAAGGACATTAACCATAAACACAATATTGTTTTCCAAATATTACAATAAAAGATTGAATCCACAAATACAGAAATCATGGATACAGTGACCTGACAGCGTTTATTTTAATAATTCACCTCTTGATAGTTTTCATAATACATGTTCTTAAAAGATCTTTTAGGAATTAATGTATTTTATATTAATAAAACATTTGAGCTTTGGCCATTTCTTTAAGTTTCATTTCGGATTCTTTTCTGCTGTGATTGTTGAAGTTGTTGCCTTCTTCAAATCATGGGTGTGGTATAATCTAATGTGTGTCCATCTATTCAGCCTTCTGCTTATACAGAAATACAATGAGCTGCCCAGAATCAAGTGCAACAATCAGGGTAGTGGGTCCCAGGGTGATTATTTCTGTCTTGATCATATTTTTCTAAGTTGTCTGCATTTTAGAAAGCATATAATACATTTACAAAAAAAGAGCGGTCATTTTGTCTTCAGAAAAATGAGTCTGACCACTAAAGCCAGTGAAAGCCTTCAGCACCCAGTCACCATGACCTCACTGTCTTGCACACCGCCCTCAGATTGGAGGAGTTTTATAGGAGCTGGCATGTTAGGGGAGAAAACAACTCCAACTTTGAAAGAGAGAGGATTGTGAGCATGCTGTCATCTCTTTTTCCATTAGGTGGAGCAAAGAGCTTATGCTGGCCTCTGTATTTTTATGTGTTTCAGAAAGGATTTGTAAAATAGGCAGGTCACTGTTGCTCTCTGAGAACAGATTTAGAGTGTGTAACTTTTTGAAAAGCTTGCCAGGTCCGAGTTGTGACATGCACGTGCATGGGACAGGTGAGCAAGAATACAGGGGCGAGCTGGGCAACCTGGACGGGTTACATGCTTTTATACTTTTGAGTGACGTTTACTTCCAGGGTGAAATTCCCAATTTAATAAAAGTTTTAAGTTATAGGTACCAACTGAATTTAATACTATACATAGTGCAGCATTAAAAACACAGACTTTGGCAACAATGAAAAGCAACTTAGATCTCAGATATGCCCTTTATCCGTCATGTGACCTTGAATGGGTCCTGTCATCTTTCTCAGCTTCAATTTTCTGATCTGTAAAATGAGTTAAGAATGGTGGATCCTCCTTCCTAGGGTTGTTACAATAATTCACAGAGATATAGTACGCAAATTCTGCGCACCGTTTCCCGCTCATAATAGGCACTTGAATTTGCAGATTTTACTAAAAGCAGAAATCACTGAGGGGGGTCTCACATGCATTTTTACCATGGACAAGTAGCATTACTGGACTATTTGTCGAGTGATTCCTCACGTGCCTTTCACTTAGAATCTAGTAAGTAGTGTTTTCTCCATCAGTGCCCGCCATGGAAGGTGCCTTGCCTTTGGCAGAGGGAAGATGGCAGAGGAGGGAGAGTCAAACAGATGCTGAGAATGATTTTCAAATCACAAGTCAAGACCCATTGGTCAGTCAAGAAATCGGTTTTCTACAAAGTCTATCTTCCTTTGTGAAGAAGATTTAGGCATAGGGGAGAAGAGAAAGAGGACGGTGGAAAGGGAAAGTAAAAGGGATTAAGATGCAACATGCATATGTACCAATTGCCCACCATGAATGTATCCACCATGTATTTCAAGCATGTATTAATAAAAAAAGAAATTGATTTTGAGTGGTGAATGTGGTGATGGAATGGAATGATGTACAGTGGAAAGGAGTGGGAAACAACTTAGTACACAGCACAGAGTAAAGTTTCGGTGTTCTCTTGAAAACACACCTTTGAACATTAAGTATATGTATTTTTTGTGAGGTGGACCACAATGTAAAGTGTATTTCTTTTGACTGTGGAGAAGGGTTTGTAAAAAGTTTAAAAGCCTCTGGGCATTGTTGATCACTTGGACTGAAAAGTTGGTCAACAAGATCTGACTGCATTTCTAATGTCCTTTGGCAGACATGGTGCTTTTGAAACAGGGGAAGCTTGTTGCCGCATTCTAAAAAGGGAAGGCATCTCGAACTTTTGACCAAGATATGTCCTTCCCTTAACTTTCACACCCTTTTTACCCTTCTCCCTCTTGAGCTGTTAATTCCAAGTCTGCACTGCACCCACCTTTCACACGTTGATGCACCTGAACTTTCATCCCAGCCTTTACCTGCATCCCTGGAGAAGTCCCTTCAGGTTTACACCTTCAACGAATAGTCATATGCCAGTGACTCCAAAATCTCTACCTCCCACTCACTCCTCCCCACTTAACCAGTTGCCTACTGGGAAGCCATATTTGAGGTTTTTTTTTTAATAATTTCATTGAGAAACAAATAGCAATGAGACAGTTTCAAAACTGATTACTAGCACGGTTTCAATAATTAATACATTGCATATTGTTGTCTTAGTGGTTATTCACTGTACAAGATGCAGACATGATAGCCTGTCCACAAACACTATTAGAACAAATCTTTCTGTTCAATGAATTAAGAGAATGTAGCTGTACAGCTATCCTATTTTCAATATATAGATAGAAAATGGCCATTCATTTGTATCCCCTTTTTTTGTTTAGTTTTGTCAGAGAAGGGTATTCCACTGTCATTTAAATATTGTAGGTGTGTGAATTCAGCAAACTATTCCAATATAGTCCAGTAGTCCATAATAGTAGCGGGTTATCCGTAGGACTGGCAATGTCAGAAGCTGTTGACTTGAGCCTTTTACAGCTCAGCATATTAATATGGCTTTACTTTTTATACCTTGTTTTTAGACTTTTCTGATGGTTAAGACCAAGATAAAACAAGATCTATATAACAAGAAATGGAACTTCTGTATCTGCCAAGATCAGTCAAATCCTCTCAGGATTTATCCTGAAAGTCTATACCACAGTTTGTAGATCCTTTGTCAGTGTCAGCCATGTGGATGAGTCATGGCCATTGCTTGACCAATTTGCTGTCTGTGAAAGCCTGAAAGAATGTTTTCTCTCTATGTGACTCCCCTTAGGCACACTCTACATCATCAATCACTTGGGCAGCCATATTTGGACAGCTCTCATGCAATAGTCAGCACTGAACTCACTATCTTACATGGTACTACTTCTGTCTTTCCTCTCCCATTCCCTAACCCACTCTTCTTTGGCGCTCCTAGTCTTGGTAAATGTCACCGCTGTTCCACCCATCTTCACCAGAGACATCATTTTTAATACCTTTAGCACCTTCAGTTACCTTATGTCTTATATGTGTACCATCACCAAGTCTTAGCTCCTAGCATTTCTTGGTTTTGTTATGCCCTCATTAGACCCATGGCCACCATTCTTGTGCAAGCTACCTATGTCTTCCACCTGGACCACTACAGAATCCTCTCAGCTGTTCCCAGGCTGCCACTCCCAAACCACTGTATCCTCCATGCCACCATCAAGCTGTCATCTTGTCCCCAGCAGCCCTGTTTGAATGTCTTCAGTAGCCTCCAGTGCAACCCTGTATCCTCCCCCGGTTCATTGCACCACCAAAATTAACTGTATCTCACTCTCTCCTGCCTGAAAAAGTGCTGAAAATATCCCCCTTTCCCTACTTGCTGTGGATCTTGTATATTTAACAAAGGAAAAGAAAATCAAATTTAGTCAATGTCATCATCCTTCCAATTATTGAAAATGCATATTTTGGTATGTGCTCCCACCCTGTGGACCTTCCTCAAATTCTTGATGCAGATTTTTAAATTTTATGAGATTGTCACAATAATTCTTCATGCAAGAAAATAAAATGACTATCTTTTCTTAAAATGACCCATCAATCTGATCTCGTACACACAGTGGACTAAAAATGTAGGTAATTACTAGAAGAATACTGATCATGCAACATATAAAATTTTTACTGTAGTTGAAGACTAAGAATAAAATACATGTCTTCAAAATGTACTATCCACATTATAATTCATAGAAAAGAAAGGTGATTACAGAAACTCTGACTCATGTTCCTGACAGCTAATGAAAAAAATTGCCAGAAGCGAAAGCGGTTTCTTTTTTATCTCAATGACAGGCACTTTTGTTTTTCTGAAGAGGTCTTCCATTCAATTTTACATAATGACTGGTCTTTTGCTGTGAAGCTTAGCAGGCACCTCATTCCAAATTCATGGTTTTCTTGTTCACAGATATGGGCAAAAGAGATGGCTGAATAAACCTGACTGCAAAAATATCAGTAGGACCTACTGTGATCTTTCTGATGAAACATCTGACTATGAGCACCAATATTATGCCAAGGTTAAGGCCATTTGGAAAACAAACTGCTCCAGATGGACTGAGACTGGACGGTTTTATCCTTTTTTAGAAAGTAAGTAGTGCAGTTGTTGGTTAAACACGTGTCATTATCCAGGGAATCTGCCCTCTTGGTTTGAGCCTCAGCCCCATGATCTTGCTCTGAGGAAAGGCTCTGCTTGCTTGGTTCTGCCCCCATGGGGTCAGTGACCAGGCCACAGTGCTTCACCTTAAAACCACCTTCAAGATGAATGCTTTGGTCAAGGGCTCTCTCTAGATAAAAAGTTACCTCTGCATTCCCGTAATATCTACTTCTGATTTTGTTCTACCATCTAGTACAAGTTACATAATATGAGGAACAAGAGATTATTTTTTAGCTTTATGCATTAATAAACCACTGATGTGGAGCCAGGAGATGGATTAAAATGTCCTGATCCCTAAGTCACTTCCTAGTGTAAAAATTTGGCAGTGTGATGATTTAATTTCCAGGTGTAACTCAGACCTGAGGCAACATCTTCCTAGTGTTTGCTTCTAGACGCTTGCCTTCCCTTAACCCGTGGCTGACTCCACCATCAAAGATGCATTCAGGGCCATCATGGTGAACTCTACAGGGCCTCCTAAGGCCTGGAGCTGGCAGAGGCTGGCAAACTTTGGCCCTTGAGCCCGATCCAGTCCCTTCTTTCTGTTTTTCTACAGGCTAAGAGCCAAAAATAGTACTCATATTTTTTTTAGTACTCATATTTTTAAAAAGCTTTTGCATACTAAAAGATTTTGTGACATGCGAAAATTACAGGAAATTTAAATTTTAATGTCTATTCATAAAGTTTTATTGGAATACAAACCACACTTACTTGCTTATGGAGTTATCTTGGACTGCACTTGTGTATAACCAAAGTGGAATCACTTCAGCAGAGATTCTGTGGGCTGCAGAACCTAAGTATTTACTCCTGGACTTTTCTGAGAAAACTTCACTGATCTCTGGAGATCATTCTAGTTACAGCTCTAATTTTTCCACTTGGTCAAACATTATTTCTTGCCAACTTTTTAAGTCACAAGAACGTTGCAAGCACTTTTGATTGTATTTGCCATCACCAAATGCTGTCTATCCTTGTGACCAGGAACTAACTAAACACAATGCTTGGATTTGCTGTTTGAAGTATGTCCTGGGGTGTGAAAGGATAGTTTCAAGGTCTGGCATCACTTGAGCCCCCTTTAGTACATTTTGAAGGATCTCCTCTAAGAGGTGGTTGTAGGTCTTTGATCTGAGTAGGTTCACATTGTAGCTTTATGGAAGATGATTTGTTTGTTAACCTCTGAACATGATAATACCTTCTCCTTCCCCTTGAAGCACAAATTGGACCCCCAGAGGTTGCCTTAACTACAGATGCAAAATCCATTTCTATTGTTCTGACGGCTCCAGACAAGTGGAAGAGAAATGCAGAAGACTGTACCATTTCCATGCAACAAATATACTCCAATCTGAAGTACAACGTGTCTGTATATAATGTCAAATCAAAAAGAATGGTGAGCCTGGAATGGAAGGGGGCGTAGACTCTGGGTACCATGTTCTGTAGCTGACACTGGCTAGAGCACGCAGCCCTGATACAAGAATGCAGAGAGATCCATCATTGAAAAGAGAAGGCTGTATAAAGTGCGGCTCAGGCTGCTGTGTAAAAAAGATACAGCACTGACTTCAGATTTTTATTACAGAAACTGCCTGCTCACAGGGTGCTGTTGCTATTGGAGCACAGAGCAGTAGTACAGCCCATCATGATAAGGAGCCTTTACTTGTATAACATCTATTGATCATTCTTCAAGAAGGCTTAAAAAAAATGCTAGCAAGAACACAAGGCTGAGAATTATTTAGAATTGTTCCACAATCCTCGGTTCCACCAAAACAAAAAAAAAAAAAAAAAAAAAAAAAAAAAAGCTGCTGTCTAGAATTGTTCCAGTTCTTAACCATGCTTTGCCTAGCTAAAGGAAAAGGTATTTTGATACTATTGCTGGGTGAAAAATAAAAGCTTGTAACAATAGGAAAGGATCCAACAGTATCTTGGTTTACTATTATTTCCTTCTTGCCCAGTTGTCCAGAGTGGTCCTAGGATCTTTGGCTCTAACCATGGTTTGTAATTCTCTGCTCTAGTGGTCCCAGTGTGTCACCAACCACACGCTGGTGCTCAGCTGGCTGGAGCCCAACACTCTGTACTGTGTCCAGGCAGAGTCCTTTGTCCCAGGGCTCCCACGCCGTGCTGAGCCTTCTCAGAAGCACTGCATCAGTACTTTGGAAGGTAAGTTTCCAAACATCTCGGCTAGTATGAAGAAGGAAATCTGATGAAACTAGGAGGAAGTACACCTGTTTACACAAGGTTGAGACAAATCCATGTCTAACAGACAAGTTGAGACAAAGGCAGAAATAGCTATCACCTGACATGCATCAAACCCCATTCGGCTGTGCCAAGGAGTGAGACTGATGTGAGGAGTGTTGCCGGCCCCTCGGGGGACTCTCCCTGCAGATCCCACAGTCCGCTGCCAACAGCCCTCCTGGGGTCACGTGGTTTCTGTCTTGGGAAAGAGCAAGAGCGTTCAGCGGAGCATGAGAGCTCACACTTGTGATCCCGACCGTCCTGGCTGAGGCTCCCAAGATTGAGTCCAGCCTGGATAACTTAGTGAGATCCATCCTATTTCCAAAGCACAGCAACAAAAAATAAAACCCTTCCCATCCATCTTTTTTCTTAAGTCCTAATCACTGTAATCAGAAGTGGTGGGATCTTTAAGAACATCTAACAATTTTATCCTGAGAAACAAAACTTTATCCTGAAAATGTTCTGCAGCAGCGTGGTAGGCTGGATATGGCAGTGCAGGTCTGTGCCTGCAATTGTAGCTACGCAGCTGAAAGAAGAGGGTGGTGAGTTCAAGCCCACCCTAGGCAAAGTGATGAGATGGTGTCACAACAGCAACAAAAGCCACTTAAAGGCCTGACGTAGCTCAATGATAGAGCACTTGCCTAGCATGCGTAGGGTCCTGGTTTCAATGCCCAGAATTGGTTTTGTTCTTTGTGTCGTCCTCAGGTGCCACTTGGGTGGGCAAGTCAGTAATTATGCCCACACCTTTCTGTTGTCTCCTCTTATATGCCTCCTTCCCATCTTTCTGAGCTGGGTGCCAGGAATTGTGGTTGGAGATGTCGGTTCGTGTTAGGAGACAGGGAGTTATGGTCACGGCTTTGTTCAATCTTTCTGCTCCCAAGATGAGAGGAACTTGAACTCAGTCCTTGAAAAGCGAAAGTTGCACCAAATGGCTCCCACCCATTATTCTTCTGTCTCTCCCTTCCAATAAAGTTCACCAATTCACCGCACTCCTTCCTTGCCTCTAGTGCCTGCTACTAATAGGAATCGTAGCTCCGCTCTTTTCTCTCCTCATCGCTCCCATCCCTGAGATGAAATTATCCCAAGGAAAAGAAAAGGAAAGTTATGGAGACACAGCAAGAGTGAACGGCTGTCCTGCTGAATCCGTGTCCTTTTCACACCTTTTCCTTTAATATGGAGGGTCCCCTGCCATACTACAGATAAAACTGAAATGCCAAGCAAGTGAAAAACAAAACAAAGCAGACTGAAGAAATCACTTTTGTGTTTGGAGAAAGGATTGTGTTTACTAACAGCTCGATCTGTGCCAAGTGGTAGGAATAAATTTCCAGTGAAAATCGTTTACTCAGTTGGCAGAGCAAAAGCAACTAAAGCACAGATTAAATTAAATACTTCCCAAATCACAGATGGAGCCCAGGTTCCCATGCGTGTGGGAAAAGAAACAAAATAACAGAGTTTCCTTTCTGATTCTGAACTTCCCCATAGCCCAGCCGTTAAATCACCGGAGATAGCTTTTTCTTTCACTACCAGGGATTAAGCCCAGGGCCTTTGTACCGAGCTATATCCCCAACACTTTTCTAATTTATTTGAAAGAGTATCTTGCTGAGTCACTCAGTTACCCAGGCTGGGCTCAAACTTGGCAATCTTCTTCCCGCGGCTTCTGAGAATTCTGGAATTACAGGCCCGCATCATCGTGCCTGGCTTGGAGACGCCATTCTTTGACACTGCCACTTTCTAAAAAGTCCGTATTCTCTCTTCCTTGAAACGTGTTTCTACTATCTACAGTATCCTAAGCCCTAAGATATAGACACGACTTACTAGGTTTATTTGGTACATGTGCCAGGACACTGGTCCCTAGGAGGATGGCTCTTCCTGGTCAGTCTAGGTGCAGTCCCATGTGAGGGATTTGTTAGAGACCTGGGGTGAGCTGCAGCCTACAGCAGGCAGGTGGCATTCAGACACCTGCAGCATCCGCACTGCAGCCTTGGCTGGTGCCACATGAACCCCAATGACACCGAGCACGCTCTCTGGGGACCTTCTGGGTAGAAGAGGCTGCAGCTGGACCTCCATGCTGGCCTCTCCCCCTGACCGCTGCTGACCACCCCCATCACCCATGACACAGTTTCCTATCTCTACTCCGACAGCTGTCGGGAGAGTGACTGACTGCAGCATTCCCTCTGACCCAGGCCTTGAGAGCATCCAGTGTTCAGGTGGATGAGTGTTCCCAAGACACGCTTGCCAGTTTTATTAGTGTGGCAGGAGTACACAAGACCCTGCCGTTTGTGTCCTTTCCCTACTGCTGCATTACTCAGAATTCTCCAGGGAGGCAGAAGTCATTGAATGGATGAATAGACAGACAGACAGACAGGAAATTCTGAAGAGTTGCATCAGCTGGCAACTCTAGAATTTGAAGGGCAGGCAACAGGCTGGAGACCCAGCCAGGAACTGGTGTCACAGTTCCTGTCCAAGGCAATCTGTTGACAGAATCCCCTCTTCTGTAGAATCATTCCTTTTTTAATTAATGGAATTTATTGATTGAATAAAACCCATCCACATTATAAAGGATAATTTGCTTTACTCAAAATCTAGTGATAAGTATGTTAATTTCATCTAAAAAAAATACCCCCAAACAGCATGCAGAATAAAGTTTTTCTATATATATATATATTGGTACTGCAGCTCAGGCATGTGTCATTTGTTGGCACATAAAATTCATGTTCTCCACTTTAAGGTGCAGCACAAGAGCTGACAGTGTGCCACAAACTTGACAAGGGGGGCTGGGACCCTTCACCGGGTCTTTTCACCCATCTGTGCCCTTGCACTCCTGTGAGGCTGCAGCGCTGCTGGCCCTGCAGGGCACAGGTGCCATTTGCGGCACCCTGCTGCTCTGCCACCTCCCCAAACTCCAGCCCTGCAGGCAAATCCGTCCACCCAGTACAAGCACAGTTCTGTTGGTCACACATCACCCATGTGTCCTCTACTAAATGCATGGAGAAGATTGAGCCACATGAGTGCCAGGGAACAGTAGGCACAAGAAAGCATTGTGGTTCGCTTTGAAGAGGTGTGAGTTACTAAAGTATCAGGCCCTTTACTTTCAAGTACATAATCAAGTATGAATCTCAAAGCCAAACAGAAGGTGTTGAAAAGTCTGCTGAGTTGGATCTTTATGTATCTTTACTGCATGGTTAGTCCAGAAAAGTTTGGAATACTGAGGTCCCTTACAACACTTAGCCCAAGCTTCTCAGTGTATATTTGTGTAAACTGCATCCCTGAGTGTATGGTGGCTGATCTGTCCAAAGTCTCTAAATGTTGCCAGTATTTTTCCACCTCAGAAATTCCAACTCTCCAATCCTTCCCCATCCCCTCTTTTTTTTTTTTTTTGTAACAGATCCAACCTCAGCATTGAAGGTTAAAATCATTTTCTGGTATGTTTTGCCCACATCTGTGACAGTGTTTCTATTTTCTGTGATTGGCTACTCCATCTACCGATATATCCATGTTGGCAAAGAGAAACACCCAGAAAATTTGGTGAGTGTTTGGTGTGGTGGGAATACCTATTTAAACACAGTGCTCTAGAGCAGAGTCCCATCTAAGGGTAGAATGAGTTTAAAGTTAGTTGATAATTTTTCTAAAATTCTGTACCAGATTAACTCACAAACATTACCAAAGATAAAGAAAGATTCCTTAGCTTTGAACAATTTTTATGTTTAATCCTGGGTCAAGCAGAGTCCTGAGGTACACAGATAAATGATATAATCTCTGCCCTTCTGCAAGTAAAACCTAGTCAGGGACTTGAAATTCAAACTAATACACAAAATCTGACAGGAAACCAAACACTGGAGACTCTGAGGACACTGGTGATACCAGACAGGACTATTGGATTCAGACAAGACTGAAATGAAGGAAGGATTTTTATGGGGGGAGGAGTACTTCAGCTGAATTGGATCTCCTGCTTCAGGGAGTCAACATTGATCAAGAGAGACTAAAGAGCAAGCTTCTATTGATTTGTTGGGGTAGGTAACATCCAGTAAGTTTCCACTGAGCAGGAACATCTTTTGGAAAGCTTTTTTCTATTTGGCTGCTGAATTTTTATGTAGCTGAGGCCAACATCCTGAGTAAAACATCCCAGCCTGGTGGGGCTGGGTCTTGTGGCAGGACTGCCAAAAGGGGTACATGGATAGGGGTAGAAAAAAGACAGAATGGGAAAGAAAACACATACCAACTTCAATGGGTAGTAGGCCAAATTGATCCTACATGATCGTCTCGGGCATAACATTTTTAAATGATCAATAAATCTACATGCAGAGTAGCATCTGATGCATAGGTTAAGAGAGCAGAGTGAGCAGACACAGTGGAGAGAGAGCTGCCGAGCCTTTGATCCCACTTCAGTCACCTATTAGGTATCTGTAGGCTGACATGAAGAGGGAGTGTTCTCTGCAGAAGGGGCCCTCAGGTCCCAACAAGTAACCTAGGTAACTAGTAAAACCCACACGTCAGAGGTGTTCTCTACAGCAGAGCTGGTGGGAAACTAATCATGTATTACCCAGCTGTGCGAATTCCAAATTTAGCAATTTTTGAATCTACTAAAGGCAAGTGAAGCCAGGTTTATTTAGGATTTTCCTTGGAAACCAGGCCCTCCTTTTATGTAAACATTCCTCCTCTGTGGTTTTATATAATCTCATGATGGCCGATTGAGAAGGGAACAAGGGGGGAGAAGCCACATGCATGCTGAAAAGGGGAGTAAGGTATGGCATCCAGGGGTCTATTTGGCTGTCCCAGCCTTTGTCGCACCATGGAGGTCCCTGGCTCTCTCAGAGGCAGGCTCAGAAACCCTCTAGGGAAATCAGGTTTTTCACTAGAGCTTGAGTGTGAAGGGTAAGAGCTAGGATACTTTCTGAAGGCAGCGATATCAGGACACAAGGAAGCAGATGTGTGAAACACATCAGACTTTTAACCTGCATGCTTCCTTATAAGGGCTGGGCAGCAATTCTTAACATTGAAAATTATCTCGTGAATAATAGAAGATACATTCACAGTACATACATCTGTCCCTCTTAGTTTCGCTTGAGTAATTTTTCTGTCACTCTGCTGGCATTTAGATGTCAGGGTTAGTTTCTTGTTTGCATGTGGAGTTTAATTCACCACACATGAATTTTTGAATCTAAAATCTGTAAGAGATGAGGCTGATTGTCCTGTTGTAATGTTAAATGAAATCATCACATGGTAGAGTGACAATGCAGACTATACCATACTGCCTGATGTTTTCTTAACTAACGGGCTCTTCCATGTATGCATGCCAAATTTTTTTTATCTCAAGTGAACTTCCCTGACATGATTTAGAGTTTCTCTGTCTACCATGAATTTGCAAGAAAATTTCCCTTTTTGGCCTTATTCTAGCATGATTAGTGCAGAGGTAGATCATCTCGACCCATGTGCTTTTCCCCCTCTTGACACCAGTTTTCCTGCCTATCCATAGTTCATGTCCACAGTGTAGCCAAGAAAGGGACCAGAAGCTGAGGTAGCCACAGCGGATTAACAAGTACCTAGTAAACCATAAACAAAGCAGTTTCATAAACCACGTCGCAGTATTTGCCACTGTTCATGTGGCCACATTCTTATTTTTGAGAGTTAAAAATACTCACTAAATGAAGCAACTTACCTGTAATCCTTCATCCATGTGGAAGAAGGCCAGCCACAGCCCCAGCCTCAAACTGGGACAGTACCCACCAGTGAGCCACACACAGTCTATGTGTCCTTTGTTCCTTACTCCCAGACAGGAAGGTTTACTGTCTGTTCCAAGCATAGCCTTCACCTTCCTGAGTTAGTAAGAGTAGATTGTTCAAAACCCCTGATGATGCAACAAATTCTCCTTAACAGCTGTTTTTAGCATCTTTCAAAAGTGAAAAGGTAAAAAGCATTCTCTTCTCTCTTTATAGATTTTGATTTATGGAAATGAGTTTGACAAAAGATTCTTTGTGCCAGCGGAAAAAATCATGATTAATTTTATCACCCTCAATATTTTGGATGATTCTAAAATTCCTCAGAAGGATATGAATCCAATGGACAAAAGCAGTGATGGATCCAAACTCAGTGATCCTGAGCCCTTCTGGAACCCGGATCCCCACCCAGAGGAAGTGGAGGTGGAACACTTGGGGTATGCCCCGCATTTGGCGGGAATTTTCTGTGACTCCGGGGAAAACAGCAGAGGTCCTTCCCTGACCCAGCAAGAATTTCTCGGCAGTACCATGGCTGTGGGCAAAGATGCAGTGGAGTATGAGTGTGACGTAAGGGCTGACATTCAGGAGGGGCCTGAAGGTCACCAGTTCAGCATGCAAGAGGTGACATCAAGGCCAGGAAAATCACTTCAGCAACAGGCAACTTTGCCAAGGTTGGACCCACCAACATCATTGTGTTCATATTCACCTCAGCTCAGTGACTTATACCACCTGGTGCAGGGACACTTGGTCTCAGAGGGGCTAGAGGAAGAGCCGTGGATGACACTGGTCACCTGGGACCCTCAGACTGGCAGGCTGTGTATCCCTTCCTTGTCTGGCATTGACCAGGATGCCAAGGACAGTGAGTATCATGAGTCTGATGGTCTTGCAGAGGAAGGTCTGTTGTCCAGACTCTATGAGGCTCAGGTGCCAGACAAGCCAGCAGAGGATGGAAATTATCTCCTGCGATTCATGGAGGAATGGGGACTACATGTGCAAATGGAAAATTAACCCTAGCAAGACTTGACTTGACCTGACCCCTACTGTGACAGGGCACAGGAGCAAAGAAGGGGAAGTGCCAGGACTGAGAGTAGCATGGTTGTATTCATTGGCACCAGTGAGGATGACAGCCCTTCTCTGCTCCCTGCACTGACTTGGGATGGGTGCTGCCTGTAGGTCCCTTACAAAGTCCACAAGGCCCTTGGGTACAAGGGCTGCTAACCTTTGCTTTAGACAGAATCAGCACTCAATGTATGTTTGCCCTGAAGGATTGATTCAGGCATGGGTATTGGGGCCATTCTGCTTATTAACTTTGTAACAAGCATAATTCTCTGATTACTTTTTGCTATGTGTAGATAACACTACAAAATATTTCATAAAGATCATTTTACAAATACTGATTTTCCAGAATTTGTTGATTATGAGAATGATGAGGTACCTAGAAATGTACAACTACAGCTGAGCTTTGGTGGTTTATGCCTGAAATTTCAGCACTCTGGGAGGCTCAAAAGTTCAAACCCAGCCTGGGCAATTTAGTGAACTTAGGGAGACAATGTGTCAAAATAGAAATAAAAAAGGAAATTGTAAAGGCCTGTAGTAGAATAAAGCCCAGGGAGAAGGCCCTGAGTTCATCACCCACACTGCAAAATAAGGATATACATAAATATGTATTATAGGGAGCCATTGGTCTCAGTGTGATCAGTTCTACCAGGTGAGAAACAGTAGCAGGAATGAGAAAAAGATAGACAAGAAGACAAAAGCTGGGCTAGGTGGTGGCTAGTCTGCCTGGTTGGCAAGATGACCCAGGAGAAAAACAAAACACATTTATTTATATCTTTGCAAAGTTAGTGCATGTGACACAAGGTTGACTCAAAACTAATAGCTGACCTTAACCAGGCAGGATGTTTATCTCACAGGTAGCTTGATGGCTTTAGGCACTGAGGCCTAGTCCCGCCTACACACATTTGTCCAATTTTCCAGCTCCCATGGCTCCCAACAATGTATATACCATATGTATAGACTACACCACACACCAGGACTTCAATCCACACTTCCACGATTCGGTCATAATAATTCAGGCTTAGAGTGAATCAATCAGGTACAGACCTTCATGATATCACATGCTTTTGTCTACATTAAGAGATAATGTTCAATAGCTTATGAGTAGTTCTAGGGTATGAGCATAAATGATTTTCTTATAGTCAGAAAATTGTTTTCTCTATAATTTAGTAGGGGCTTTTATTTCCCTCAAAAGTAATCCAAAAGAAATGCCACATTTTATACTGGAATACTACATGATTTCTGGAAAATGGTTGTCAAAAAGGTATCTATTTAATTGATAAACTAGAAAGTGTTTGGCAGTTGAAGAAGCACGTTACCATTACAATACTAAATATTCTTCTAGGATGAGGAGTGTGAGGACTCTCTGGAATACATAGGAAAGAATATCCTGTGTCTACATACTATTGAATTCAGTGCATAAACACAAGGTTTTTAAAAAAGAAATAAATGAGGGCCAGCAAGGTAGCTCAGTGGACTAAGCCCCTGCTTTGGCAAGTGCAGGGACCAAGGTGCAATTCCTGGTCCCACATGCTGTGCCAGCCCCACCCCTGGGGTGTGCTGAGCCAGCGACTGAGTCTGGGCATGGTGGTGCACTCCTATAATCCCAGCGCTGGGGAGGCTGAAAACAGGAGGATCGCTAGGAGTCCAAGCTGCATAGTGAGACCCTGTACCAAATACACAAATGAAAAAAAAAAATCCATCAAAAAAAGAAATAAATGAATAAAAAAGCAAAAGTTATTTAAAATTTAACATAATTTACTGTGGCAAGTATACCATGAAATAATACCTTCCCAGTTACACTCCAGTAAGCATTCCCATCCCCTTTATGATTTGTTAAGACAATTAAATTCTTCAGTCACACTACATTAAAATGTGGCAGAATCTATGAAATTGAGCCATATAAAATTATTGATATTTAACTGTCTTATATCTACAAGAGCAGCAGTTGCATGTGTTTTACTGGAAGATACCTTTGTTTCAGCTATGAACTTGGGACCCATTATTGCGCTTTCTGGAAGATAGAAATGTGTTTCCTTAGTCATATTTTTGGCACAGGCAAACAACCCTTATAGGAGAGGTAGATTCTGGGGTCATGGCCTTTTGTGATTGTCCACAAATCCAAACTGGTTTTGAGCAAGTGATTTAATTTAGAGTGTAATTATATTAATCAGAATGTTCTGTTCTCAGTCTTCCTAGAAATGACTCTGCTGGTTTTGAAGAACAAATTTGTAAAACAAATTATAAAATAAGTTCAGAAGTAGGAGAGAATAAGTTATTATGAAAAGCAAAAAGAAATTGATGAGAGATTGGCTTATTAATTTCATTTATGTACTTTTTATTGAGTATCTACTAGATCCTACAGGCTTCTCATCTGTGAAATCAAAAGAACAACTTCCTTAGGCTGAACTGCAGAAAGCACTTAGTGTGGTGCCAAGCACATACCGAGTGCTATAAAGTGTTTGTGATCATCATTATTAACTGTCAGATCATACGCTTAGCACCAGAAAGAGAACCATTTAAACGTATGGGTCTGTTTTGATTCAGTGACAGGCCTTGCCTAACTTTGCTTTTCTTACCTGAAAGTACAATAGTAATTTTCTTCCTACTCTATGCCTTCAGATTGAAATGCTTCCAGGGTTGAACCACATTTCCTGGCTTTGGAAGAAGAAATCTAATTCAGAGTTGCATTTCCATTCTTGTCATTCTAAGCATGTCAGAAGCACCTAGTGTTTCTCCAGCTTTGCCACAGCAGTCCTTTATAGGATAGTTGTATGTGTGTGTGCATGCGCACACATACACACACACACACACACACCCACAGGTCCCTCCCTGATTTAGGAGGGTTCAATCTGGGGTCTTTCAACTTCACAGTGCAAAAGTCATACACATTCAGTGAAGACTTCTCTTCAAGTTTGGAACCTGCTCTTTCCCCAGCTAGTGATATGTACGGGTCACAGTTCCCTCTCCAGATTCTGGGTGGCAGCAGGCAGCAGTGTGATCATGAAAAAAGACACGATGCTCCGCAGTGGGTTTGAGATTAACAAAGTTCCTTCTATGTGGGTCAAAATCACTTTTGTCGGAGCTGGGGAGATGGCTCAGTGAAATAAGCGCTTCCCTGGCAAGCGCAAGGGCCTGAGTTCAATCCCCGGTTCTGCAAAAAAAAAAAAAAAAAAAAAAAAAAATCATCGCTTTTGTCTTGACCACATGACATATGGCTGTAATTTGGATGAGAGTCTCCCAAGGTTCCTAAGTCTCAAGCTTGCTCTCCGGGGTAGGAACTGTTAGAAGGCTCTGTGAACCTTTAGGAGGTAGGTGAGTGGTCCTGGGGTCATTGAGGAGGTATCCTCAGAGGGAACTCTGCGATCTAAATCTTTTAGTTGCTGCTTCCTGGCTTGGGATTTAAATAGTGGACCCCACAGGCAGCCCCCGTGACGTGTCATTCTCATCAGAGGCCCAGAGCTATCCAGTGTTGGGTTTAAATCACTAGAACTGTGAGCCAAAATAAACCCCTTTCCTACACAAGCAGCTGCCTTAAGTATTTCATTACAGTAGTGTGAAGCTGACTAATAAATGTCCTCTTTACCTATACTTTTGATTTTAAACCCCTATCATAAATTGAGGCACGTCAGCATGCTCAAACATGAGCATATGACTGATCTTTGTAATGGGGAGAAGTAGCATCGGAGATATAGCCTGTGAATGAAGGCTGGCGTGCATCCTGTCTTCTGTGGCCAGGACTGGCCACCTCCTCTGCGGTCTATATCTGATTTTATTCTAGGCCTGAGGTTCAAGGAGAGCTGTCAAGTTGAAGGGTCAGAGTCTTTGACAAGAAATCCTCACCCTATCAGGGGTCATCACTCCAGTCTAGGATTTCACATGCTGCTTCCACAGGAGGCTAATTTTCCTCAAGAAAACATCCCAGTGGTTCTCTCTCAATACCTCATCAATCCTAAACAACAAGTGAATGGAAAAATACCTCCACTACCAAGCAAGGGAGACTCACACTCTGCCGGAGGGAAGATGGTGAGTGAAGTGAACTTGCCCCCAGAGCCTGTGCTGTGGAAACTCTCTGGTGCCCTGGCTGAGCTCAGCTCCAAGGAGATCAGTGCAGTGAGGAAAATCTGTTTGTCCAGCCCGGAGCCCCAGTCTGCCCGGGTGATGGATCTAATGAGAACATTAAACAGAGGGCTTGATAATCATAGATGGGTGCACCTGCTTAAGAGTTGAAGTCTTTCTGGCCCACACCTTTCCACCCCCACATCTTGTAGATGAATTCAAGCTGAGTTACCTTATCCTTTTCTTCATGTGTTTGGTTCTCCATGTTGTATCAACCATAAATCTTTTGCCTATATTACTTACCAAAGACTGTTCAAAATGGGTCTTTAATTTTTTTTAAATAATGCTATGGTTGTGAATATTTGAATAGTAGTTATTTTTATTATAGAAGATATATTAAGATATACAGCACCAGCCAAATAGCTCAGTGGGCTAAAGCGCCCACTTGGGCAGATGCAGCAGCCAGGGTTCAATCCCCAATATGCTGTGCCAGTCCTGCCCCGGGGGGCTCTCTGAGACAGCGACTGAAACTAGGGGTGGTGGCATGTGCCTGTAATCCTAGTGCTTGGGAGGCTGAAAACAGGAGGATCACTACAAGTTCAATGTGTGTAGTGGGACCCTGTAGACCCTGTACTAAATACATAAAATAAAAAGAAAGATATACATATGTGTTCACTGTACAGTAACAGAAAATGAATGGGGGGGAAACATGAAGATTTAACCACCATAGACATATTAGGACAGAGAAATGATTCTCAACTAGGGACACTTCTTTTCTCTAAGGGAACTTTGGCCATGTGTGGTGGCTTTAGTAAGCCACCATCTCAGCTTCCCAAGTTGTTGGCCCTTTAGGCAGAACTACCACACCTGGGTTGGAGACACTTTTATTGTCATAACTAAGGGAGACAGTGCCATTAGCTTCTAAATGGAAGAAGCTGGAAAGATTACCAAATATCCTATAGATACACAGAACAGCCCTTCATAACAAAGAATTAGCCTGCCTGGTGTTAACAGAACTTAGGGTAATAAACCCTGATGTAAAATTTTCACTTTTTACTGCATATATGCAAATATTTATCTCAAAATAGATCATATTGAATAATTTCATAACTTATTCCTTTCATTCAAAATACATAATAAATTATCTTATTTTACCTACAAATTAAGCTTATGGTATATCCAGACTAAACATTTTAGGGCAGCAGATTAGCAATTATTTTCTCTAAACATAATGCTTTAATTTTTTTTTTTTTTTTAGCAAAACAGTGACCCAAAATTGGAGTTCTCAACCATCTTATAGATTCTTTAGTGATTATGTGGGACAGGACTGAAGCCATCCTGAATCGCATCTCCATAATTGTCCTGAGTATCCCTGGTTAGTTTTCCTCATGGAGTTCTTCAGTCTGCTAAAAATAATCAAAAACATTAGGACTATATAGTAGGCAACTTTACAACTAGGCCCTGGAACTGTCAGTACCTGGAGTATATCTAATGTCCTTCATATTCATTTGAGGTGAACCAGGGATGTGCTCACTAGGATGGAATCATTTTTGTCTCAGCCACACGATAAGCCCACTGTTTCTGATTCAAATCCCAGGGACCCTCTGATCTTGCCCACTCTGCTTCTGCCAGGAAGTTC